TAGGGGAGGGTGCTGAAGCGGGTACCCGGCGCACCCCCCTCCCCTAAAAGCGGTGGAGGGGGACAAAACGCGCTAGCGCTTCATGGACAAAGCCACCTAAACTCACTTCACACCGCTAGCCCTTGCATAATCCTGTGCCGCATAGGGCGCTTCAACAACTGGGAGCGATTGGCTCGAGCGTGTCGCTCACTCCCCGAGGAACTTCTGCACCACGTCGTCGGGCGCGGGGGCGTAGTCGCTCGGGGTCATGCTGCAACCCGCCCTGCCCTGGCTCAGCGAGCGCATCGCGCTGGAGTAGCCGAAGAGGTTCGCCAGCGGCGCTTGGGCGTGGATGACGGTCGCGCCGCCGCGTTGTTCGGTGCGCTCGATCATCGCGCGGCGTTGCTGGAGATCGCCCACGAGATCGCCCATGTGTTCGTCGGGCGTGGTGATCTGCAGGGCCATGATCGGCTCGAGCATCACAACGCCCGCTTCGCGCAGGCCCTTGTCGAACGCCAGCGACGCCGCGGTGCGGAATGCGATGTCAGTGGAGTCGGTCTCGTGGACCTCGCCGCCCAGCACCGTCACCTTGAGCCGCAACAGCGGAAAGCCCAGCGTGCCGCCCCCCTCGGTCGCGCTCTCGAGTTCTTCGACGACGAGATTCACGAACTCGCTCGTCAGGCCGCCCGTCGTCGCGGCCGCGGGATCGACCGACACCACCACCGGCGGCGCGACGTGCGCGAGCGGGCCGGTCGGCGTGAACGGCTCGACGCGTAGCCGCACGGCGGCCGTGTGCTGCACGCCGTTCGTGTTGCGGTTGCACTCGCCGGTGACTTCGACCTTGCGGGCGACCGACTCGCGGTAGCTGACGCGCGGCTGGCGGGCGCGGAACTTGAGGCCGAAGTCGCGGGCTAGGCGGTGCTGGATCACCTCCAGGTGCAGCTCGCCCATGCCGGAGATCAGCGTCTCGCCGGTCTCTTCGTTCTCGATCGCACGAAACGTCGGGTCCTGCTTGCGGAGCATCTCGAGCACGCCGGCGAGCTTCTTCTTCTCCTCGGAGTTCTCGGCCTCGATCGCCATCGAGATTACCGTGTCAGGGAACTCGATCGACTCGAGCAGGATCGGCGTGCGGGTGTCGCAGAGCGTGTCGCCCGTCACCGAGTCCCGCAGTCCCAACAGCGCGACGATATCGCCCGCCTCGGCGTGGTCGAGCTGCTCGTCTTTCTTCGACGCATGAATCCGCCAGATCTGCGCGACGTTCTCCTTGAGGTCCTTCCCCGGGTTCAGCACGCGGCTGTTGGGCTTGAGCTCGCCCGAGTAGACGCGGACCCAATAAAGGTCGCCCGTCTTGTAGGGCAGGATCTTGAACACCAACCCGCAGAATGGCTCGGCGATGTCGGGCTTGCGGACGAGCTTCTTCACGGGCTCACCCCCTTCGGGGCTTTCCTCGCCTCCGGAACTCCGGTCGCTGACGCTCCCGGCTCGCCGTTTGGATTTCCCTTTGACCGCTTTGCCCGTGGGATCAACGCCCTCGACGGGCGGCATCTCTAGCGGATGGGGCAGGTACGCCGCGACCGCGTCGAGCAGCGGCTCGACGCCCATGCCGTGCAGCGCCGAGCCGCACAGCACGGGCTGTATCTGCAAGTGAACCGTTGCCGAGCGCAGCACCTTGCGGATCAGGGCCTCGGGGATCTCTTCGCCGCCGAGCGCCAGCTCCATCAGCTCATCGGAGTAACCATAAAGCTGCTCGAGCATCTGGTCGCGGTACAGGGCCGCGTCGTCGGCGAACTCCTCGGGGATCGGCGACTCGACCACCTCGCGGCTGTCCTTGCCGCCGGGGAACGTGATCAGCTTCTGCTTGATGAGGTCGATGATCCCTCGGAACGGGTTGGCGACGTGCGGCGGCCCCTGCCCCGCCGGGATCTGGATCGCGACGGGCTTGGCGCCGAGCCGCGACTCGATCTCGCTGAGCACCTCTTCCCAGTTGGCGCCCTCGCGGTCCATCTTGTTGATCAGCGCGATCCGCGGCACGTGGTAGCGGTTCGCCTGCCGCCAGACCGTCTCGCTCTGCGCCTCGACCCCTTCGCGGGCGCTGAAGACGACGACCGCCCCGTCGAGCACCCGCAGGCTGCGCTCGACCTCGGCCGTGAAGTCGACGTGCCCGGGCGTGTCGATCAGGTTGACCCGGACGTCCTTCCACGGGAACTGCACGCACGCCGAGTAGATGGTGATGCCGCGTTCGGCCTCTTCGGCGTCGTCGTCGGTGGTCGTGGTCCCCTTGTCGACCTCGCCAACGCGGTGCTTGGCCGAGCTGACGAACAGCATCCGCTCAGTAACGGTCGTCTTGCCCGCATCGATGTGGGCAATGACGCCGATGTTGCGGAGCTTGGTTAAGTCAGCGGGCATGATCGTTGGTTAGCTGCTTTTTGAACCGCCAAGACGCCAAGAGCGCCAAGGATCGCCAAGAAGAAAGTTAGACAGGATCAACGGGATTTACAGGATGAGATGAGCATTCATCATCCTGTCGGTCCGGTTAATCCCGTCAAAAACGTCCTGGCGATCCCTGGCGCTCTTAGCGTCTTGGCGGTCTAGATTAACTTACTCCTTCTAATTCAAGCTCCCGGATCCGCCGTTCCCACTCGACGCGGTCTTCGAGCGCCGAGTCGGGATTGGGGAGTAGCGATCGCCTCGTGCAGTTCACTAGCGCTTGCAGCGTTTGGTACTCGCGCGTCGGGCCGATGGCAGGCGGGAGTTGGTCGTGGACGGCGGTCATCACCTCGGCCCAGGTCTTGGGCTGCGTCGCCCTAAGGTACGAGCGGAGCGACGCGAACGACGCGGCCGAGTACTCGGGCGGCAGCAGCTCGTCGTTCATCCGCTGCACGAGGTCGAGACGCGTCAGGCCCTCCTTCTCGAGTTGGGCTTCGTCGAGCTTGATCGCATCGACCACCCAGTTGATGAACGCGACGCGGTCGTCGCCCGTTGGGTCGAGCACCGGGATGATCAGGTCGCCGACGCGTCCTGGGCGGCGGATGTCGGGCGACAGCAGGTGGATCCGCGCCGTCATCAGTAGCCACAGCACCTCGCCGCGGAGCTTGGGGTCGCTCATCATCTGCTGGATCTTGCCGGTGAGGCGGCGCTCGGTCTCGTGGGCATTGGCGTCGACGCGGCCGAATTGTGTGTCGGCTTCGTCGACAAAGATCACGACCTTGCCGAGCGCTTCGAGCACCGCGCGGAGCCGTTCGAAGATGACGTCGGTCTGTCCGAACCACTGGCTGCGAATGTTCTTCAGCACCAGAACGGGCAGGTCGAGCTCCGCCGCGACCGCCTCGAAGATGAACGTCTTGCCGCCGCCGATCGCGCCGGCCACCGCCGCGCCCGGCAGCGCCGTGTCGGCCGGCGCCTTGAAGCGTGGCATCAACTCTTCGGTGAGGAACTTCTTGAGCTGCGTGAAGCCGATGACGTCGGTCATCCGGTGCGAGGGCTTCTTGAACTCGACGACATCGTCGCCGAGCCGCGTCTGGATGAACTCTTCGACCTTGCCAAACACCGCCGCGGGCGTGAGCGGATCGCCCGAGTATGCGGCGCCGGCGAGCATCTGTCGCAGCGCATGCAGGGAGAGCCCCGCGGTGCATTCGCCGAGGGCTTCTTGCGTGGACCAGAGCCGCGGCTTCCGTTCGGCGGTCTTTATGAACTCGTCGATGAAGCGTACGCGTTCGCCAAGCGTCGGCGCCGGCGCCTCGACCGACAGCACCTGCGGCATCCGCGCAACGCGGCTGTGCACCATGCTCCGCGACTCGGCCAACAACACGACCGAGTCGTCGCCGGCGACAAAGTCCGGGTCGCTGAACCAGTCCTCGACGATGCTAATGCGGCGGAGCTGCGCGTCGTTCAGGCGCGATAGGTCGCCGGTCTCGGGCAGCAGCATGTCGGCCGCCTCGACAATGATCAGCAGGTGCTCACGCAGCGCCGTGCGGGAGCAGATCGTCAGTTGCCGCAAGAGCTCTAACGCCGCGGTCGGCGAGCCGATGGCGCTGGTGAGGTGGCGATCGAACTCCTGCTGGTGGAACTCAAGCTGCGAGCTCTTCTTGCGCAGGTCCTCTAGGCCGAGCAACGCCGGATCGACGCCCGACTTCCACTCCACCCAGGCGCCGCGCAGTCGGTCGCGGTCGGCGTCGGCGATGCGGATGGGACCGTTGAGCTCGTAGACCAGCGGTAAGAGCCCGTTGGTCTTGGTCTTTTTGAGCAAGAATGGCACGAGCGGCGTGTGCCGCTCGCCATCCCAGAAGAGGTCGTGGATCGCGCCCCCCAACAGCACGCTCCGCGATTGCCCGGAGTTCAGGAGTCGCGCCAGCCGGGTGAAGAACTCGGGGGTATCGGACATGTTTCGTTAGGGGCCGAGGAGGCAGACGACAGCTGACAACCGCGATGGTCGCCGCACGGGCGATGCATGAAAAGCCCCGGAGGGGCGACAGTCTCGGATTCTGCCAACCCGCTCTCGCTCCTCCGTGGGCGAGCAAGGCTCCGGCGCCGATCTCCAGGGGCCTGCGCCCCTGCTAAACGCTGCCGCCCCTCGGGGACTCCGATGAAATGGAGGTCGCCTCACAACTCAAATCCCGATACAGCATCCAGTGAAACGCGTGCACCGCGCGTTCGAGTTGGGACGAGTAGCGGCCGGTTCGGAACGACATCGAGCCCAGGCCGCGCTGGGTGGATTCGCAAATCTCGATGTCCTCGTTCTGGATGACGTGGCTTGCGCCGATCGCTTTGCGGAGGCGGCGTTTGGCGGCCCACTCTTGAAGGTCGTCGCCGTCGGGGACATCGGCGTCGACATAAAAGTCGAATACCACTTCGCAGCGATCGACCGCCGTGGGGTAGACGATGTTGGTGTCCATCATCCGGCCGTAGCGGTTGATGAAGAGATTCGGGTAGAGCCAAGCGTAGACAACCTTCTCGCCGAGCCGTTCGTCGGCGCCGCTCGACTCGCAGACCTGAATCGCCGAGCGCTCGAACAGTTCCGTGCGGTAGCCGTCGAACGCCAGCCCCTCGGCCAGCCCCTCGTGCGCGTAGGCGACGTGGTAGCCGCCGTCGAGCGAGTTATCGACGAACACCTTCCAGTTGCAATTCATCTCATAGGTGCGGCGCTCGACCCACCGCATGTGCTCGAAGCCGAGTTCATCGAGCGGCCCAATCAGCGGGGCCGCGTCGATGGCCAGGTCGCGCGGGTTGTTTTCGCCGCCGGCGTAGCCGTCGAGGTCGAGCAGCACCAGGGGCCCCCACGTCGCGACGCTGATTGGCGGCAGTCCAAACTCCTTGGGGTCAAACCCTTCCATGCGGCCCATCCGTGGCGCCGTACGCAGTGAGCCATCGAGCCGGTAGGTCCAGCCGTGGTAGGGGCAGACCAGCTCCCGGGCCTTGCCGCACTCCTGGGCGACGACGGCGGCGTGGTGGCGGCAGACGTTGTGGAACGCCCGCAACTTGCCCGACTCGTCCCGCAAGACGACGAAAGGGTTGCCAACGACATCGCCGGTGAAGTAACGGCCGGGCTCGGCGACCTGGTCCGCTCGGCCGACGGCGACCCAAGCCTTCTCGAAGACGTTGCGCCGTTCCAGCTCAAGAACGCGCGGGTCGGTGTACCACACGGCCGGCGGCGTCGTGGCGGCCTCGACGGGGATCGACGGATCGAACTGGAGGTCCATGTCTGGGATGGTAACCGCGAAGACGTTGGAAACGCAAAGGAACTCCAAGACTCGAACGATTGGGGCGAAAGGCTTATGCTCCAGCTTGTGGTATGACCAATGACCATGCCCCTATGACCAATGAGGTTTGTGTACGAGCTATTGGTCATTGGGGCTTGGGCATTGGGTTTTTTCTCGGGCGACTCTATGGCAAATCTGGAAATCGACCACGTCCACCACGCCTACGGCCCCAAGAAGGTGCTGAACGACGTGAACCTCCGCGTCGAGGCGGGGCAGCTCGTGGCGCTGGTGGGGCCGAGCGGGTGCGGCAAGTCCACCTTGCTCCACGCGATTCTCGGCACGCATCCGCCCACCGGCGGCGTCGTCCGGGTGGCGGGCGAGCCGATGCTGCGGCCGTCACGCGACGTGGGGATCGTCTACCAGCACTACAGCCTCTACGACTTCTTGACGGCGCGCAAGAACGTGGCGTTCGGGCTGATGCTCAACGAGACCTCGGCGCCGTATCGCTTCTTCAACTACCCCGGTTGGCTGCGTCAACGCGCCGAGCACCTCGAACGGGCGGACGAGCTGCTCGACAAGGTCGGCCTGACCGCCGCGCGCGACCTCTACCCGAGCCAGATGTCGGGCGGCATGCGGCAACGGGTGGCGATCGCTCAGGCGCTGATCATGAAGCCGCGGGTGCTGCTGCTCGACGANNACGAGCCGTTCGGCGCGCTCGACGAGGCGACGCGCGAAGAACTGCAACTGATGCTGCTGCAACTCTACGAAGAGAACTTAGCAGCGATCGCGGCGAACGAGCCGCCGCCCTACACGATCATCATCGTTACGCACGAATTGAACGAGGCGCTGTACGTCTCCGACCGCGTGGTGGGCCTCTCGCAGTT